AAAAAAGGGTAATAATAAGTGTCTGCTCCTAAATAACAGAGTATTATGTAAGAAAAACTAGCCTTAAGGACTAAAAAATATGAAATTAAAAACCAAAATTAGTAGTCAGGCTTTGTTTAATGTAATTAATGCTCATATTTAACCATAACTGTGAAAAGCATGCAGTAAGATACTTTTTCTGAAACTATTGGGTTATACAATATTTCAAACCTTTCATACTAATCACCAGGCAACTTTCACATTATGATAGAAAGAAACAGATTATCAATAAAAAATTTTTATCTTCTCAGACAATATGTACTGGTTTGTCAAATTAAGTATAAACAATGTACTTACTAAAACAAAAGAGTTGGAAATGTTATAAAAATGTTTTTTATCTCATTTATTGCAAAGCAAATGAAAGAAATATATGTAGGAGATATGCATCTAAATCATTAAAAAAGCAGGTAAGATCCTTTAAAAATTTCTTCCAAATAAACTATCCACCGTACTAGAAAACAGAACTAACAGTATATAGTTCAGTAACAGTGTTCATATATTCCTACAGTGTTTCAAAATAAAATTGAAGTACTACAAAAAACAGAAAAAAAAGCACTAAATTAATATTGCTACTAAATATAGTGTATAACAGACTTCTAAACTTAGCTTTTTAAGTACAATTACATACACTACCAGAAAGAGGCTGACAGAGAATTTAGATTTCTAAAAAGAACGAAAGCTCAAGGACAAGCCGAAAGAGCTACGTGTTAGAAGAAATGCTTCAGATATCAAGCAGATAAAATACTTCTTGGAAGGAAAGCAGGGGAAAAAATTTACAAATCTTCACTTTGTTTCTTTCTAAGAGGGGGAAATTTTGTTAAATTAGTTATTACTTGAAATACACTTTTCCTAATTCGACAAGCCTGATCGATCTGTACTTCTTTTTACTTACTTATACAAGAAGTTCCGATTTTCTCTTTCTTAAGCTTTCAACTTTGAACATTTCCCCAATTTTCCAGATAAGCTAGAACTATCTAAAATCAAGGGCTCTCAATTATAACCATGGGGGAAAGCGGTCAGCCTTTTTTACGTTACCTGTTATACGTTAATTTATGAATATATTAATATTTTTATTCAAATTTTGGTATTTATCAAAATTTCTTATACTTTTTGCTGCTTAATTTATAAAACACATTAAAAAATAATCTAAATTTCAATAAATGTCTTCTCTCAAATTTTGGACAAGAGAGGGAGATGATTACCTAGCAATGGTTAAAGGAATTCATGGGACAAAAAAGCTGATCTAGATGGTGCAGATGCAGTCACCAGACTCATTTTTTGCCTAGTCTCCTATATCTATCTCCCATGGCTCAACTTAATGCATTACCTTACCACTACCTCTAAACATTCAAAAGCAAACCGTCTTCTGAGTTTTGGAAGATGAGACTACTCTATACACATCTTATTCCTACTATACCTATACATGTAACCCCCCCCAAAAGGGGGGATTTAGCAACACTGATGGTGTAGAAATGTCGATACATAATCAAAAGCAAACTCTGAAGTCAAGACAGATTAAATACTCATCTTTACTTGAATTGATTTCTGTAGCCAGAATTCACTTGACACTCTAATCATGCTTATTTGAGATTATTTACATTTGTGATACTGTTGCAATAGAAAGAGCAGCAAGGCAGCATCTCAGCAAGAACAGAGGTAGAAACAAATGTGCACAGTTATTCCAATATGGCAGTTTATTAAGAGAAAGGTTTTGGTTTCAGTTCTGAATTAGCTACATCATCAACATTATGCAAGTCATACGATGTGGACTGATCTAGACATGGCGCAGTCCAGAAATAAAGAAGAGAAATGCCCAAATTAAAAATAGGGAATTAAGTGACAACAGATAATTTAAATTATTATTTTGATTTACATATATAATATTCTTGTTTTTAATGCTTAGGATGTAAATGTTACTGAAAATGGTTTTAAAATCCAAATTATATCAATATCTGAGGATGTTAAAAACTATTTCCTAAATGAATTAACTTTTTTTTAATTGATGCCATTCTGTTTAAAAGTTTCACAGAAATGTATTACTTTGGTAAAATACCAGTACCTAATTCAAATTCCTCAAATAATGTTACTGTGAACTTTTGATTTATGAATATCGAAGACTTCACAAAAAAATTTTGTTTGTTGCAAAACAATGGGAAAATTAACTATAACGAATCACCAAAACAGCCCTGTCTACAGGAAATACAAAAATAATGTTACAGAACAATGCAGTGATGCATTATATTTGGCAACTGTTCCTATCCATAACAGTACATAATCCAGAATAACTCATTAAAAGTAATTTATAGATATTAAAAATAAATCAAGTGTATAAAAATTTGCCCTCTATTTCATGTTGACTATTGAAATAAGATACCATAAATAAATTAAAAAAAAAAAAAAGAGCATTGTAAAATGAAGAGATTAAGGAAGATACAAGTAAGCAATTGACAGACACAATATGAATACTGCACGCATGGTGAAACAGCATATCTTTAATTTCTTAAGTGTGGTCCACCATTGCAAGAAATAATTTTATTTTTGAAATTAAAATCATACTATGACACCCGTTTTAGCAATACAGCGATTTCCTGTTTTAAAAGCAATATAAAACATATACCATATTAGAGATTCATTATCATGGGAATATTGTTTTTAGAATAATAAGGGCTATAAGGACATGAGAAAAAATACATCAGCTATAAACTATATTTATGGTGTACCTCATAAATGCACAGACTTGTACTAGGGTGGAAAAAAACTGATTCAGTTGATATTTAATAAAATTAATGAAATAAAGATTAGCTCTTATCTCCATGTGTTGGCACTCATTTTAGCCGGGGGGGCTGTTATTTATTTTATGCAAAAACCTGTTAAGTTGACAGCTCATTTTAGATAATGTTCATAAACTAAATCATAGATTTTTCCCCACAGAGTGCTCTTTGCCATCTTGCATGTTTTGCAGCTATGAATAGTTTTCATATTACTGTAAAAAACAAGTCCTTTTTTCAAAATTTATTAAATCAGTTGACCACTGGAATAGGAATCTAGAACAGGGACGAGAAAAAAAAAATTGCTTGGTTTTTGCTTAATATATCACTGAAAAAGTTACAAAGTAACTGTTATGAGAATTGTCTCCTGGTATTTATGCCAAATAATCAAATAAAATGTTTGACAAATACGAAATTATAAAATATTGACAATACTTACAAATTTCTTTTAAAAAGTAATTTTACTTCTTCTAAATTTATATTTAGTTGCAGCCCTTACTGATATGAAGTTTGGCTCTCTCTGGAATACTGATTTGATTTACGCAAACAAATAAATGAACAGATTGGTTATCTAGATTAAACTGCTTGAAAATGGCGGCAAACTTACCAATATTCTTCTGCTGATTGTAATAAGTTATTCCTCTCCCCTATGTTTTGGATTAACTAATTTTACTAATTTTTAGTTAACCATATGGTTTTCTTACATTGCTCTAGTTAACTGGGCATTGACTGTGCATTATCCAATACTTATATTTACTAATTTTTCACTAAAAATTAAAGTGATTAGATGACTACAAATAAACAAAACTAATGAAGTTTTTTTATGAACTTTCAAATATATATATATCTCCTTCTTGAATGCATAAAAAAAACCTATTCTGTTATTAATACCAATAGTCAAAAGTTTCATCTAAATAGTTACGAATGGGTTTTATTTTATTCAGTAGCCTATATTTGTTTTATGAATCTTAAAATATTTCACAAACTCCCCACTCAACATTTACTTAATGTCTAACTACAAAGGTTAAGATGATATTACTAAAGAATAAACATTTCCTACTGTGGACAAATTCTTCTGTGTTAGTCAAAAGTATTACTAGAATAAAAATTCAGTTCAATAATCTGGACAAAATTAGATATGAAAAATTAAGCAAAATTAAGCTTACATGAACTTCAGAAAAAAATTATCCTTTCGTAAGATCAGAAAGGATAAGCTGCCTAGTTGCAGTTTAAAATTTGACCATAGCAACAAACATTTTTCTTTAACATACTTATTTTTTTTCAATATTTATAGTATATCTAATGAAATGAGGTAATAAAAAATGTTTGCCTATAGATTTTCCTTAAAATTACACTGATTAAGGAAATATTCAGTAATAATAAAATTCCTATATTATTATAAATGAATCATAAAAATGTAATATAAGATTAGAAATTCAATCGCATTAATTATTAACAAAGAATCTCATCAGATAAAGCAACAACAAATATAATACCAAAAAATGTATTTCTAGTACAATCTAATTTACAATAGCTAATTATTTTTGCTTTTTTTAATTATACATTCTCGCAGATAGATATATTTAAATCACATATATTATCGAAACGTCGCATCTTTATATAATACACATAAATAGCTTTTTAGCCAGGCTGCCAATCTATGCAAATTTGTTAAAGCTTCTTAAAATGTGCCCATCAATACCCTTTTAAATTTTAAATGCAAAAATTTGCACCCCTTTTTTCAAACTGAAGTATTTTTAATAATTGCTGAAGAGATCTACTTTACATCAAAAACACTGTGTATTATATAAAATATGGATTAAATATAAAAGAAAATTTTTTAAGTTTTTACAATCACACTATACTCATCAGCATTTATGTTGTATAATTATTAACAAACACAATCTTGTTGACTGTGTACTTCACATTGCAGAAACCATTCATAAAATGAAGTTTTTAGTATTTTAATTTTTAACTGAAATTAAAAAATTATACAATACAGAAAATGAAACGATATGCAAAATTTGTATGAAAAATGCTCTAAAACTGCTAAAGCTATTTTATCATACTTTGAAATTACACTGATACATTAAAGTGCTACTTCCAACAGTTAATGACATGTGTTTGTGTACATTTTAATCTGTTTATAGAAAATAGAATTGCTTTGTGGTTGAAATAAACCTAAATCTTAAGCTTTTTCAAATTGAAAATTTAATAAAATCAAAGAAATTACATGATGAGTATTTTACTTGCTTTAATATAAAAAGGTGACATACTGTAACATGTGTATATGCTATAATTATTATACACTTATTCACATTTTAACACATATTCAGTAAAATGAAACTACCAGCTACACTGACAACACTAACATCTATTTATTTAGTCCAATTTTAATACACAGACACTAACACCGACGGATAGTTCACCACATAAAAGTACAAAGGGATACTGATAGTCCATAAAACAGGTACATAATTTAAATATGAAAATTCTTGGGGATTTCATTATGCCTCAATGAAGCTATAACCTAATGTGCCAGTGAGCACATGTATAAATGCGAGTACGTAGCCGTATTATTTCTTCCTGTAGAGTTGGACCTAGCTGTTCCTGATGACATAACCCTTCAAAAACTGGTATCCCTTCGCAAAGAATGGAATTCTTCTAACAGCTATACACCTACTGCACACTGGCTTACATCTGGCTAATATTCTCTGAGATAAAGTTTCCCTAAATTAAAACGTAAGAAATTATTTTAATCTTGTAAGACATAAAAAGTGACTAAGACCTATAAATTAGAAATATTGAACACTAACTTATCAGATTATGTCACAAATTTTCCACATAAAACAAAGAAAAGCTCACACATGCTTTTTAATAGAAAATAAACTATACATATGAATTAAGGTTATTAGTTACATTTTTCTCATAAAAATTTGAATTTATCAGCGAGCTCGATTATACAATTGAAAACTTCACAAAATGTAATTAATGAAATGAATGAAGAATGCAATTTAATGAAATTACTTTGTCAATTTTCTTTTCTATAAATTTGTTTCAATGTCAGAGCTAAAGCCAATTCCTGATATACATGCATAACTTTGCCTCATGAATAATATATTTTGTATAAAACAATTTCATAGCTTATGTTAGTTTTTTTTTGAACTGATGACATAACAGCATTAATCATTCATTTAGAACGAATGAAATTTTAGACTTTGTCTGGAATATTACAGAACACAAAATTAGTATTCCAAATGATTACAAGAAATTAAAAAAAGGAACTAATATAAAATTTTATTGAGAATTAAAACATACCCAAGATTTTAAAAATGCACATTTATCGACGATAGCCTCCATATCCTCCACTACCACCACCAGTTCCATAACCACCTATGCAAACAAAAATGATGCAAAATTAATAATGAAATTCACAGCTTCAAAGACACATGACAGATTTAAAACCCAAGTGGTATGACCACCTTTATCTGATAATGAGATAACTGTCACTTGGTATGTTTTAGCTTATAATTTCAAAATACCTAGTACTCTTCTGTTATCAAGACTGGATTCAGAAATGTATGTATTATATATATATGAAGGGCACTAAATATTTTGCTTTCTTAGTAATGTAAATATTATCTCAAAGAATGAAAGTTTATAAAAACAGACACTAAAATATGTAATTATAGAAATTCAGATAATAAATGCTGTTGAATACAGATATTAACTTCCAAAAAGTGATATTTATGTATTACGGCAACCACCTCATCAGAAATCGCCAAATTTTCAGAATGTGCCAAACTGGCAACTATCCTGACGACAATTGTTCAGTCAAGCAACATTGCCATTTTGTAAGCATACTCTTTGTCGTATTCCAATGGTTTTTATAAAAAAATTGCATTTTTATCTTAAACTTAATTTTAAAATAAACACTTGTGGGATTTGACAGTAACTGAAGAAACTAACAGAATTTCTGTAGGAGCAAATTTTGCCACAAAATATCTAAAGGGAGAGGTATACCACAAATATCTATGAGGAGATGGTAGACAGCCAGTACAGTCGATATCAGCATCATAGCAGATCTCGGCAATTCAGGATTCCTACACGTGGAAATTAAGTACTTTTAAAGACATAACTGGAAATTAAGTACCATGACTGAAAAAAATTAAAGACCCATCAACACATGGAAACTGAATTAATTCAATTAAAGATATTAGCTATGTCTGAACTTCACTTTTGTGATACCATTTTAAGAATAAAATAGGTTCACAAGTAGAATGCATTACTATTAAACCTAATTTATAAAAATTTGAGAATAAAATCTACATAATAAAATTTATCATCAGGTAGCATTAAATATTTTACCCTTTAGTTAGACATATTTGAAAGGAGATTAATGACATTTTATTTGAGTCTCCTAACAGCTTTATGTAAATTTTATGCCAAATGGCATAGGTTAAAATGAGAAGCAAAATCATTATCAGTATGATTCGTTACAGAAGACTGGCTGTTGCCACCATTGCTGCTTATTTAGAGAAAAACCTGCTGACCAGAACAAGCCTGAAAGCCTGATGTAGGCACAGTTGGCAAGTTTTGAAAGTTAGTTGTGCTTTGTCTATCTGATACAGTTAGTGTGATAACTTCAAGTTCTCCTGGGGTTGTAACCCAGTTAATATACTTTAAGGTTCCAAAAAGACAAAGCACCAGAGGTGATAAGTTGTTTTGCATTAAGTCTCACTAGATGCAAAGAATTAAGTTTTACATTCATTTTTACATTTATGTGCCGCATCTTGTGACCACGGTAAATATTAGTGAATAGCAATAACTCACTTTAATATGCAGAAGTAACTTTTAAGGGTGATCAGTGAGCATAGGAAAATTAAAGATCTAGAGAAGAATGTGTTTTTTAATGTATCACATAATCCTTATTTAACAATTATAAGGTGCATTTTAAATTGCTAAAGTTAGTTCTTATTTTTCATACACTGATGTCTGCTGACTTACCAACACATATCGATAGTTTGGAAATCTTTCTAAAAAAATTCTTAAAAACTACCAACTTGCACCAGATAATTAAATTTTAATGTGCAAATACACAAAAGCTATGCGATTGAAGAGAGTTAACTGAAAATCCGCTATTAAAATTTTCTACAATATAATTGTTTTACACATACACATAATTTAATAGATTTTTTATGAATTAGACTTCATTCAAGTCCAAAGGGGAGGGGTCTAAACGTATGATTAAGGATGTAGTTACTCTTGTCTTGCATGTATAAAACATTTATATTATAGAAAATTTTAACAGTGGATTTTCAGTTAACCCTCTTCATCTGCATAGCTTTTTGTGTACTTACATATTAAAAGTTACTTATCAGGTGCAAGTTGGTAGTTTTTACTAATTTTTTGTAGTCAAATATAACAGTTTTTCAAAATATAGTTTTAGTAGTTAGTCAAAATATATTTAATATTCAACAATTTGGCTAAAAACATTTTAATGACAGGGCCAACAATCAAAGGGCTTTTCAATTTTCAAACATTAGTAGCATTACCCCCATACGGTCCGGAACTTCTGCTAGAATATCCGCTTGAACTTCGTATTGGCCCACCGGACGAATAACTTGATCCAAAATCAGTACCCCAACCTCCACTGGCAGAAGAACCTAAAATCAAACATGGAAGTCTATAATAAATTCTAAAACAATATAAATTAAGATATAAAAAATTATAAAATGTTCACTACATACAAAAATGTTATTAAAACAGAGAAATTTAAACACAAAATATCAACTAATTTTTTTTGTAAATATTATATATTTTCATTTCATTTCATTCTCTCTAGCAATACATAGTTTTCTATCATGAATACCTCTTCTGAGAGAAAAGAGGGAAAAACAACAGCATTCCACAGTACTGCCAAGAACTCACCTGCCAAAAAATCTTATTACTTGTGATATTACACTAATTTCTATTACCAATCGCCAAAGCAGAATTAACTAAAAATAAAATAACTAGATATTTTCAATGGCTACTATTTGCATGAAACATCAAATGCCGAAGAAGGATAAAAGAAAAACAGAAATATAGTTCTGAAAATGCTTCTCAATTTTCTTTTCAGCAATATTAAAATACCCAATAAATATATTTTCTCAATCCTGCCAACATCTCGTAATAAATTAACATCCTTCACACAACCTCAGAATTTATACAACATACCTGTTTTAGCAAATTTTTTAACACTGCATCAAAGTCTGCATTCACTTGTGAGCCTTTCAAAAACAGTTTTAAGTTTTAGTTCAAAAAAGTTATAAGTTCTTAAACCAATTAAATACATAGATAAGAAGCATAAAGAAGGATAAGTGATCTTGACATACACATAGATACTTTATTTACATTGTTAATTAAAAATATGAATTTTTTATTTAGGCTCATAACTATGTGCATACCTCTGTAAACACATCAAAAGCATTATGGTTTCAGAAGCATATACTTTAATATGTATATAATAAATATATTATTCATACAAATTTATCACAAGTGGAGGCTAAATTGAAAAATAGTAATTTTTCTCAAGTTATACTAAAACTAATCACAGAAACTGGGAACAAAATATAAAGACATTATGTATATACAAATAATTTTGTCTCTTTACTTTAAATGGAATATATATGATACGAAGTAACAAGTTTTTTAACTTGTTACTGTATAGCATATATATTACCAACATAATTATACACTGATGTATTTTATACCTTTACCTAGTGCAATAATAATCTTATCTTACAGAAGCCATTAACTCTAAATCTGAAGTAAAAAAAAAAAGTTACCAGAAACCAATATCTGGGCTACCTCAAAAACACCTCATAAATGCTACTTAAAACTCACCAGACATGTAATCAGAAGTTGAATAGTCATTTGCATATCCCATACCATCACTCCAAGCACTGGGTCCATTGTTGTAACTGCTACCACCATATCCTCCTCCACCACTACTGCCACCATAACCTCCTTTGTAACCTCCTAAAAAATTTTTCATAAAATGTATAAGAGGGAATGCCACATTCATAAAATTTGAAATTAAATTTTAAACATTTAAACGCACATACCTGATGAACTACCACCATATCCACTACCACCAGATTTCCAATCACCTCTGCCACCGCCTGTGAATAATACATGCAATCATTTTCAATTACAGTCAAAAGGATCCGAGCTGCACTAATAACAAATTTTAACATTAAAAAATAACATCTCTTAATTTTTAATGAATACCACAAAAAATTTGTTCATTATACCAAACATCTTAAGCAAGATTAACAACTAATGAAAATGAAAGAAAACATGACATTGTTTTTGTAGTTCACTAGCACTATACACTACTTTTTACATTCGGGTCCTCAAGAAATTTTTAAAAAAGATCTCATGAAAACCAAACAATTCCTGGTGCAGTTTCTAATATTCACCATTAATGCTCTCACAAATAAAACTTCTATTAATATCCATAACCACTATGAAATTTCACTTCTGAACTGAAGCAATTTGAAAGTGCACTTCTGGTTCAATACATAGAACAGGAAATAAAAAATGCATTCGATATGCAGAATAAGATATAAGAAATTAATTTTTTGTAACACAATTTAAAAGCTAACAATTATAGCATATAACAAAAATCATTATTTCACTACAAACATGTGATAAATGCAATTAAAATTTTTTAAATGCTTTAATTTCAGTTCATACTCTTTTTACGCATTTACTTTTTATGCCTAATATTGACTTGCATGGAATATTTTCAAAAATAAGTAAAAAAAAGTTTCTTTTTTTAAAATAAGCTTAACCCTTTGCGGTTGGATTAAATTTGGAGATGGGTATCATACTGGTCGGAATTAATTTCCATTGATAGAGCAGGGATACATAACACGCAAGTTTACGATGGATAAACAAGATTTAGTAATTTTTTGTGAACTTTAGATATATCTTTATTCAATACACTCATCTAGTGATATGTTTTTGTATAAAAATTATGTTTTATAATTCTCCTTCATGAGATTTTTCTTCAATCCCGCTTAAAAATTAGTTTTTGATTGTGGCTGATCTGTGTACATAACGTCTCTCCAAGTAGTAAATTCGTTTATATTAACTATTCTCATTTTCTTCTATTTCACTGTCGCTGGATATTGTTAACCGCCTTACTTGTCGCTTCATGGGAACTATGTCACTATCAGAGTCACTGCAAACGTTATCACTTTCTCTATCAGAATCAGTATTCAAGAGGCGAAAATAAAAAAAACTCATCGCTATTGTCAGTTTCACCTAAAAAAACTCATCGCTATTGTCAGTTTCACCTAACACTTCTTGTGGTAACTTTCTTTTTGCCTTTTTGGGGAATTTGGAATATTTTAAGAAGAGAGAATGTCTAATTACTGTCAAATACAATTTATAAAATATTCTTTGGAATTCTACAAGGTATCGTCAAACGTTGTCGATTTCATTACGTTCAAAAGACGACTGACCTGCCACTGTTGATAAGATTACGTTATCTCCAATCAATGGCACATTGTATTAGTTAGTGAATAGGTTTCTTTAGGCATTGAGGTTTGTATAGGAAAAGTGTAAACTGATACATGAATGCATACAGTATACAATTCGTATAGTTCCTTTCTGTGGTGGCTGAGAGCAGACATACGCTCGGAACAGTAAAAAGGCTTTGGTGGCTAAGAGTGGACATACGACCGCAAAGGGGTTAAAACTCAACTATTAAAAGCTGAAAAGAGAAAAATAATTTATTATACAGTTTTAATAGACACAAAAGATTAAATAATTCTACTTACAAAATTCACCTACAAATTTATAATATATATAATAAAAGCATGAGGCATTTTTGATATCTTAACCTTTCACAATTGCTAACACGCTTTTATGGGACTGGGTAACTAGTTCTATAAAGTCCTAACTCTGGAACAAATTAATCTAGTTTTTCTAATTTTTAGCCTTAACTAACATTTACCAATTCTTTCAAAATATCCCCATTGTCCATTAGTGTCAGAAAAAGATTCATCATCATACGTGTTTCCCAAATTGGTCGACTACTGGCGGTCACTATATAGCCAAATATGCCCCAGCAACTGATCATAATTAGGATCTCACTGATTGTTTATTTATACAAAGCTGTATAATGAATGAATAAATTGGATAAATGAAATGTACATCCGGTACATTTATTAAACACTTGGGAAAGATATTGTTTTACCTACAAGGGGAAATTTCGCAAACAATCTGACAGTATAAAAAACAAGTTGTTTCTAAATTTTTCAAAATGCTTCTAAATGAAATCAACATAAAGCATTTTCTTGATTTCAAGAAGTTTAAATTTATCAACTATCCTTTAATACATTTAAATAGTTTAAACATGCATATAAAATGCTTAATTCTTTATAGATATTGAAAAAACGATATATATTAAAACAAAGACGTACATAACAAAATTTACACCACATTCCATTTATTACCATTTAACATCATTAATTTGTTATGTTAAATTTACACATACAAAGAACTAGGTCATACCACCATAAGATTTCATTTCTTTTGTTCTTTTAATATGATCCATTTCTTGTCTTGAAAGAGCCTTTTTAACTTCAGCCCGTCTCCCTTTTATCATATGTTTTTTTACTAATAATAATTAAATAGAAAATAAATTAATATACAAAGTATCTGTGACAACATACAAAGCTAAATACTATTTATATTAAAAAAGTAATTTTCTGGTGCAAATTACACACACAAATAACACAAATGCATATCAAATTAAAATGGGTGGACAATGAAATGCATGTTAAATAATGTATAAAAATGTTATTTGATACATATACAGAATACGGCAACCTCACTCAGGATAAAAAAATTCATAAAATATGGTGATTTATTTTAAGAGCCTACACGCTCGTGCCATGTTTCCAGAAACTAATCATAATCTTACAAAATATAAATTTATGAGCATATATTTTATAAATTTAAAAGATACTTTTATTAAAAATAATTTGAGCTGACGTTATATTCAAAACACAAGTGCAGATTTCAGGATTTTAAATTTAAACTGGGAAATACCACCACACGATAATGGTAAATGACCAAATTTAATGGTCATTTTTCAATTTATGCTTGTTTGTATCTGAGGAGTTTGTGAATATATATGTATATTTTTCTTTTTGTCCTTGTAAGGAATTTTCATCAAACTGTGGAGTTTTCCAGTTAAGGTAAAAGTTCTTTCAGAAATGCGGCACTATGAATAGCAGTACAGAACGTAAAAATTCACATTGCATGACAATGTACATTGTAAACGATTGAAATTGCACATTTATCTGATCTTTTGAGTTATAAGTTAGGTACCCTTAAAAACAAATGTTGGTGGAGATCGCACCTAGTTGCACCAACTGTTCCCATAAAATTTTGGAGGAATCGACTCCTCTCTGTCAAATTAACAGCCGGCATTCAACTCGTCTCATTACTGCATTTCATTAAAAGGTTTTGCTAAGTACAAAGGTATTTGTTCTCGTCTAATGATGGACTAACTTTTTTGACAGTGGAGCAATAAAACAAAAGAAAATTTCATACATTATATATTAGTATATTGACTTGGCAAGTATATGACTTGAAGTGATTGTGGACTTTAAATAAAAAGGAAAATTCAAAAATTTTACTACATCGTTCAGTTTGGAAAGCTGTTGAACGCAGTTGTTTCTTGGTAAAAGCTCAAAGTATAGAATTCCTTTATAATCCTACCAACTGAGAGATGAATTTTTTGATGGTCTTATCTGGACTGTTTTATCCTGCTTCAACCGCAATCTTTCCCAATTAACGTTGCTGTAAACTATGGACTTTACTTGAACTGCCGATGCCAACACATTGCATCAGACGAATTTCCTTAAGCTGATGAGGGGCCCATAAATCAAGTTTCTTAACACAGCCTAGCCATTTAATTTTTTAAATGCATGTGATACACTGAACTTCTCTGCACTTTCACACATTATACTACGACAATCTGAATTCGATAATGGCCTTATGTGGCTCTCGTCAACTTTAACTGGATAACTATAACATTGTCCTTTTACATAAAAAAAATCACCAGAATGAAACCTAGCTAACCAATTTTGCCACCACTTTTCTTTTAAGGCTTCATTCTCATACATGGTGCATAACCTCTTGTATGCATTCCTGCCTTTTGAGAAATACTGCAATAAAATGTCCGAAATACATATATATACTCTTTGTTCCTTAGAGTGGGATAAAAACAACACTAAATAACTAATCGATACAATATCTTTTACTAATTAAAGGAAGTCCAAACAATAAGAAAATACAGGTTAGGTGCTTTGAATATGTTGGCCAAAGAATGAACTAAAACCATTTGTAAGTTAAAGCTCCTTTCTCATCTCTCCTAATTACAGTTTACAATTCCTTACCAGAATGAGTTTTTAGAATCGTGCTTAATGCAAATGAGAAGGAGTGGTATTTTAGTCGAAATTTCACTGACTTCAGGAGAGAGAATCAGAATTTCTGAATAGCGTGTGTTTGCCTTTTAACTATGCCTCTCTAAGCTGATAATACACTCAGCCCTATTATGTGCCCTTGACAGCTTTGCTAGATAATTCAATATTTAGGGGGCAACTAGTTTAGATCTGTTGAGCTTTAGTTAATTATTAGTTGAGTTCTTATTTCTTACACTTTTGAGTTTAAGCCCAAGTGGAGGCTTTGCTGTACATCCTGAGAAAGAAGATGACTGTATATTTATTTTGAGCAATAAAAGGTAATTAACCCTTCATGAATTTATGTTTCTATTTTCGAACTTAAGCGATTATTCGCTTAGTAGTTCACTAGGTTCCTCCACGCTTAGTTAATAGATAAAGGGGGGGAACACTACACATTTACTGACAAAATCCACAATCACTTAAATGCTAGCCCAATAATTTATTATTAAACTTTAAAAGAGCATGTATACTATACTACAATTCAATTTTTAATCTAATGAAAGAAACAGCTACTGCATTTTTAGAAGTTCCTTAAGTGCATAATTGTGATGCTAAACGTTCATCAGTCTATTTATAAAAGAATTCTTTTTAAGGTTCATATTAGAAAACTCATTCACGTACACAAAATAAAGCAAACATAGCCTTAATTTTCTGGCATGAGACAAATTTAGGACACTTGCTTTTGATAACGATTTGTAAAACTCTAATTTTAAACACAGAGAAATAACTACTTGAGATAATTTTGAGATTGTAACTCAATTAATTCAGGCTACAAAGCATGTTACACTGCTTCACAATTTACATTGAAATGCATGGTGAAAATATCCAATTCTATTTGGATGCCACTGAAATCTTGAAATTTGTATTCAAACTTAAAATGCAGTTTTCTCAGGCCATCTTCACAGTTTTTAAGCTTGTCTTTATTTACCGAAGGTACTGAATTTAACTTCGGGAAATAAGATAAGTCATTCTTAGCTAGCTGCTCAGCAAACAGATCAAATTTTAATTTAAAACCTTTGCAATGGAATTAGATATTGTCGATAAATAATTTTTTCCCTTGCATCTTGATAATTAAGTCGTTCATATGCAAAGCTCATCAGCGAATAACGTTCATGACAATTAAATTGTTCATATGTCAAAGATTGGTGAATAATGTTAGTCCACGACAATCAAGTTATTCATATGTCAAAGATCAGTGAATAATGCTAAATCCAAAAACCATGCTGTATCTTTCAACATTTCATACCAATTTTTCAAGGAAGAATGACAATCCCGTCTAATCACACATTCTCCACTAAGCCATCTTACTTTTGTATAATGCAGCACATCACAGTGTTCAGATTAGATGGACTGAAAAAAAATTTCGAAACTGACTGCAAGCTACATATTATTCCATATGCATATTATATGTATATTTTGAATTTTTGTTGGATATTTATCCCAAAGTCAATCACCTACTTTAGATTCAAAACAACTGTTAAATCTAGCAATTTTGTCATAAAATACTTTATTCTTAAATGCATTTTACTAAAATTTCTTCCACTGCATGGAAATCTCACAGGTATATTTTAAAACACAATAAAGTTTAAGAAAAATTACTTTGCTATAAAACCATCAAGACTTCAAATACAACAAAAAGAATGCATAGGAAAATGGCCCCATTGTCTTTTTAATACTAAATAATAGTATGCCATGGTTGCTACAATCTGGATCATTCTGAATAGCTGGCAACTTGATTGTACATTATTCCCGATCCCCATTCAGATAGTGCAACTGTAAAATATAAATCAATTTTCTACACTATAATGGGAGCACATTACAGCACTTTGTAGCTATAAAATTGCCTAAATTATTACAACTTTCTCTAACAGAATATTTACACATGCATGTATATTTAATATGCAACACTTATTTAGTCAAATATTAAAATGTGCTCTAGTAAGCAGTAACCATGTTTAATATTTTGCGCTGTTCTAAATGGTAACAGCTTGGTTAACATTTTCTTTTAAGTTATATACTTTTAAAATCTAGATACCAAAATCTTCCCCTAAAAGCAACATTACCTGATGATTAACTGAATTACACAAAGATAAATTTCCTTTTCATTTTTAATGAAAACTTATTAATAATAGAAGGCTCTGAACTTACACACTATTTTGTCAACGGGATCGTAATCATCAAATTCCACAAATGCGAAACCTCTTTTCTTTCCTGTAGCTTTATCCACTACAACATTAACATTTGTTATATTGCCATATTCTCCAAAATAGTTTTTTAAATCTTCTTCTTCAATATCGTCCTTTAAAGCACCCACAAATAACTTCTTTACAGTTACTTGTGCTTCTGGTTTTCCAGAATCCTACCAAATAATAAAAAAAAAACGACTATGTTACTTTAAGAACATTTTAGACATCCTGCAATTGAACTGTTACATAACTGCAAAATTACATAAAATGGACCTTAAATAAAACAGATTTAAACCAACTTCTTTTTAGAAAACAAAAATTTGAAAAATATTCAATTAAGTCATAATTTTTAAATGACCTTTATTTTATGCTGCTCTAAAAAGCAACATTGTCATGATGGTAATTCTTAGAAATGGGATTTATTTGATGTTTTGTTCATTGCCACATTCGCATGGTAGACAGTCTGAAATCAAATTATTACACATAAAAATGTAATTTACTTATTATTTGCCCAACCCTGAAAAGAATTCATTGGCCAGTACACTTTGTCACTAAAACACACAACAAGAGAAAAGAACTAGAAACGTCTCATTGACCCATGTTTCCTCATCGTCCTAAAAATAGGATATCATACATAAATGGCCTTTGTATAAAATCTTTGAAATAATTTAACTATATATTTATCTGGTACTATTCGGTTTTGAGGGCCATAAAAAATCGCCAAACTATTGTTGATGCCAGAGCTGCCAAAAAATAATTGCGTTAACTCTAATGCAAGAAAGGAAGTATAATAGTAAATAACTAAGATGTATTAACTCAGATGAAAGGTTAATTTCATATCATACTTTATTATTATAATTTATATAAAAAGGCTAAACATAACTGAATAGCAGCATAAGAGTAAATAACTATTTCAGATCATTATTATAATTTCTATAAAAATTGCTAAACATAACTGAATGGATGCTTGCATCGCTATTTCGCTACTGAGTTATTGCTAAAGCATAATTTTGTCTTGTTGGTTGTTCAAACATAATTTTCTATAATGAATGATGCTTTTTCTTTGAAAACATTCTCGGTAAAGTGCAGAATCTCCCGCTTATTCGTTAGCCGCTTCTTACAAGGGTAAAATCAATTGGATTTTTGTCAATTTTAATTTACTTTTTAAGTGAAAATAGGTTGATGTGTACATAGATAAAGTCAAGGGTGTGCACAGTGCCATTTTTGTGAAATTCTGATTTTTTTTTTTAAAAGCGGAAATAGGTCGATGTGCACATGGATACCGAGTATGTGCAATTCTTAAAAACGTGTCAAGCAGTGGGTGATTCTGCACTTTACCCAAAAATTCTACTGCACACTTTTCATTATGGCCAATTTCCAAAGTGTTAAATCTATTAAATATCAAAAAAGGAATTAAAATTTAAACTAGTATTTCAATGGCGTTTTAAGAAATATAGAACTATATAAAGCTACGCAATCTGAAATCAGCGCACACGCTAGATTTGACGCTTTTGTGCATACATTTTCACTGCATTTTTTTTTACGGTCCTCAAAATGAAATAGTACCATTTATCTTTATAACAAGTTAGAATTAATTTAGGACGTTTTTATTGATTTTTTAAAATGGGGACTTTCTGCAGGTTTATTTTGCTTATGTTTTCAAAACGTACAATTATTAAAATTTTGATCTCCAGAAAAACTTACATATACCAGTAAGAAACATTATCAAAAAAATTTTATCTAAAAGATAAATTTCCCTTGCACTTTTAACTGTCCCAAAAATAGGACAACAGTAAAATTCCCTACTACCAAATCCCCATCAATTGGTAATGGAGATAACTCTTTCTTTCTCCGTTAAGTTCCAAACATTGCTATTTTACAACTAACCCAGGTTCATTCTACTTTAGTCTAGCTGGCAGGTGCGCATCACTTGACACATAGATGTGCGAAATGTTTGGGGAAGGGGTTGAGTAAATGTTTCAAACATTGATTCATGCAGTTAGTTTGCATTCTGAAATTCGACGAAGTAGACTACAATTCTCTCATTTTTGCATGCTTGAATTTCGAAGAATAAATATCAAAAGACACCAACTAACAAAATCATGAATGAGCCATTATCTTTAAACAGTTGTCCAGAATTTGCTATCAATAATTACACACCCTGAGTTTTATATGGAAAATTTCTTTACTTCCAATGAATTATTATGCATTCTTGCAAATAAAAACTTTGCTGCAGATAGTGTTGAAGAACAAAGAATGTCCAAATGCTCACACTCTAATACAATGTCAAAAACACAAAGCGGCTCTTCAGATAGCAGTTTTGATTAAGAAAACAAAGTTGCAGCAGTTCAATGAAATGACAGTCATGCTGTTTTAGCATGTCCAATTTCGAAGAAACAAAAAGTGCATCAACCGTGGCTCTTCTTTCAAAGAGTAAAAGGTTACAGAAAACAGATAAAGATACCAAAGTGCATTGCATTCTACAATAAATATAAAAACGGAGTTGACCTATTTGATAATCGTGCAGCAGCTTATGTTACTTCAGTTTACGGAAAGAAGGGGTATTGGCCTTTATTTGCCAATGTGTTTAGCACTTGTTGCTTCATGGAAACTCAATGTTATTTAGTGATGATAGTCTGAGACTACTTGACTTTCAAAGATACATAACAGTTCCCAATTTTGAAATTTATATTCCAAGAAAACCATCTTGGAAACTGATGTTCAACAGGTTAATGAAGATTTTCTTAAGTTTCAAAATGAACATGTTATTCTCAAAAACCCATAAAAAACAGACAAAGAAGATGCCAGCTAAAAACTTAAGCAGCAAAAGGTACAACTATCTGTAAAAAATGCAATGTTGGACTATACTTTAAATTCTGTCTCCCATTCCACCTAAGTAAGAATGATTAGCAGTGGATTATACCACTGTTTTATTTTTAGGACCGGCTGTATTGATCAAACTGATAAAAATTTGTTAAGTTTTTTTTTAAATTTTATATATACATAGATTTAGAGAAACACATATTTAAGAATTTATAAAAAATATTAATTTTTTTCAGTGCTTGGCATGATATGAAAGTTAAAGAAGTTCTTGCATTTTTATTTTTTGTTAATTGTTGTTTTACGTAATTCTTAGTGTGCTACTATTCTTGAAAATGGCTATTGTCTTTTGCATCTTAAGCTGGCAAAAAAATGAGTCGCCAATAACTGGCAAGGCTATTTACGACAGTGGGCAGATCATGAGAGAGTACAGATACATATCACTGCATAATTCTATTTCAAAATGCAATTACATTTGGGGAGGACTAATTTTGTTAAAGTCAAATTTAAGGTAGCTTAAACTAAATCATACCAAGTATTGAAAACATTAATACTTTATAAATTCTTAAATATGTTTCGCTAAGTCTATGTATACATATAAAATCAAAAACTTACTAAATTTTTATTAGTTTGATCAATACAGCCTGTCCTAAAAATCCAACACTGGTATAATCCACTGCTAATAATTTTTTTACAGATAGTCGTTGCTTTTGTTGTGTAAGTTTTTAGCTGGCTCTATTTTATGGGTTTTTCACAACAACTTGTTTACATTTTGAAGCTTTAAAAAATCTCCATTAAAATGTTGAACATCTAGTTTTCTTCAAAATGGCTTTCTTGGAATAGAAAGTCCTAAATAAGCAACTATTATGTTGTCTTCAAAAATCAAGTAGGCTCAGACTATCATCACTAAGTGATTGAGCTTCCATAAAGTAACAAATGCTGTTTCAAACACATTGACAAATAAAGGCTAATACCCTTTTTCTTTCTTTGAATTAAATAACATAAACTGCTTATGATTATCAAATTGGTCAATTGCGTTTTTACATTTATTGCAAGATGAAATGCACATTGGTATCTTTACCCGTTTCTTGCCCTCTTTTAACTCTTTCCTATGGTTGATATAATTTTTGCGTCTTCGAAATTTGACATTACTGAAACAGCACAACTGTCATTTCATCAAACTGCTGCATTTTTTTAAAAAATCAAAACTGCTATCTGAAGGGCCACGCTCTATTTTTGACATTGTTTTAGAGCAGGGAAGGCCATTAGGTCGATCGCGATCGACTGGTGAACCACTAAGCTATTTCGGAGTGATCGTCTTTACTAAAACCTAAAACACACATACTAAAAGAAAGATGTTTATGGAAAACTGACGCCAGCTAGACTGAAGAATCGGCTTTTAGCAATTGATGTGACTGCGTTTACTTGAGAAAAAGATTCGATGAATATGTACATGACACATGTACCTTCATTGGAAGTGCATGATGATGCTTTAGTACATAAGTCGGTTACAGATTCATAGGTTCATGTATGTTCACTGCTCTGAATATGTACACACTTCATGTTCTAGCAGTCGCTTAAGTTAAGCATTCAACTTGACAATTCTGTCTTGCGTTTTTGTAGTAAAAATAGCGATTTATCATATTTTAAAAGAGGGGTACAATGTCGAAAACACGGGTTAGGAAAAGAAAAACATACAATTGTAATACATAATGGGAAGAACAGTTTTTTCTTTACAATGGTAAATACAAAATGTGTGTGCTATATGTGTCATGCAAGTGTTGCACTTCCAAGAAAAAAAGGGGGAAATGTCAAAGGCATTTCAAAATCATGCATGGAAGTTTTGATACAGATTTTTCGTTAAAAAGTGAATTGCGTAAACAGAAGTTAAAAGAATTTAAATCACAAAAATAATATTTTATTAAACCCAATATTATAATCTAGGCTGCAACAGCAGTATCTTTTCATGCGAGTTATGTGTTAGTAAAACGAAAGAAACATTTCGCAGATGGGGAAATGATAATAAAAAAAAAAAAAAAAAAAAAAAGCAGCATTTCTGAAAGGCAGCTGTGCATTATTTCATCCATTCGAAAACAAAAATGAAATTATCTCAATTAAAGACTTACAACTATTGTGTAGAACTGTCACGTGCTGTACAGAAATGAATTTTGATCTGGCTGATATGCTGACTGAAGATGTTAACTGTGTTTGCTTTTCCTTGCAGTTTGACGAATCTACGGACATGGTTGATACTTCTCACCTTTGCATTTTTATAAGAATAATTTTTAAGCATATGAGTGTAAAAGAAGAGTCTTTCAATATTATCTCTAAAGAAAGAAAAAGAAATACGAAGTGAGATGTTTACTGCGCCTTCAAAAAATACAAAGAAGGTTAATCTTTACAATATGGTAACTGGTAGTTTGGCGACATTTTGGAGGCGATAAAGGTTACTACCTGGATTTTTGGTAATAATGTGAGCAGTACTCAGTTCCGATTACGCATTATTTTGTGTGAGGGAAATGAGAGATCATGGGATATGTCATGTGATATTAATGGACGAATTACGGTTCTTTAATCGGAAAAGGAGGGAAATCGGGAAAAAATCTGGAAATTTTGTATTTGGCTTTATTCTGTGTTGTGTGAAACAGTGTTCGTGAATTTTTGGACCCCATGGCCCTAACTAAAGTGAATTCGAAATGGGTATTTAAGTGGTATTGAAAAGGGTAATAATAAATGTTTTTTTAAGGTTGTACAAGATAGAAATAAAGATGCTTTATTAAGTTATTTATTTTACCTGGTACCTTGCTGTGAACTATAAGTATGATTTTAAAGATCCTGAAACAGGCGCACATACGCTTGCTTTTTATTTAGCGGAAGAAATAAGAAAAGTTTATCGGACACGTAATCAAGATTCTGAAGAAGATTAGGTAAGTTAGTATTTTTAATTATTTGAGGATATTATTTTTATGCATTGTTCTAAATGTAAGGTGGAAGTAAAGAAATTTGGTATTATTGGGAAAATTGTTATTAGCAATGATTTAGTTTAAAGTAATTAGGATTGTAAGGTAATTTTTATTAATTTAATGTATGTGCTCATTTATATTTTAAGTAGTGTTTTTGAATTTAATTATATTTTAATTAAAAATGATAGTTATTTTGTAAATTTTATGTTTGTAGGAATTTGGAATACGTTTTAGTTGAAGTAAACGTGCATGGAAATAATTTAAATATCTGACACTAAGTATTTGTAATGGTTGCGGTATGAATTCGTTGGTGACGTTTATAATATAATAGATGATTTAGAGGTAAGTTTTGGATATTTTATTTATTTTATATGTGGAAATGCTCATATTTGGAAAGGGTAAATACTTTTTCGCGATCAGGTAATTTCATATGTTCTTTTTACCGGGTTTAAAGATTGAGAAAATTGTCATGTATTTTCGTGAAATTTTTCTAATTTATGAGAAAAAAGCAGTGTACATGGATATAGTGAAGAGCCATTTTTGTGCAATTCTGGGATGTTTTTTTAAGTAAAAATAAGTCGGCGTGTACATGGTTTATGTGTATGTGTTATTTTGAAAAATGCGTAAGGAGTATGGTATTGTGCATTTTTTCCCAATTTTGCAGTGAATATTTGTCATGATTAAGCAGTTTTGTTAGATAAAATTTCTAGCATAAGTGTAATTCGGCTAGTAGATTGTTGGAAGAAGTGTTCAGTAGATAAAAAGAAAAGAAACATGTCTTTACTTCGTGAAGACAAAATGGCTGCAGGGAAAAAAAAATAGAGGGTTGCTGTAGGAGAGTTAGTCGCCAAATTTTCGCCAAAAAAACGCCAAGTTACCATAATGTAAAGATCAACCGAAAAGAATTCCAATTTATAAAGTATCGATGACAACTAATGGGGGCCCCCCATTAATAATTGGCACTGTCAAGGGATTTTCTGGCTATGTGTATCACAGACGATGACTTCCCACATTTCCTTTCTTATCACTGCATTATTCACCAACAGGCACTTTGTTGTAAAATTCTAAATATACGTCATGTTATGGGAATCTGCATGAAAATTGTGAAATCAATTCGAGGAAGAGAATCAGAAGAATGCTTCAGGTCGAACTATAATAAAACAAATCTGATTACGAGAATTGTCATGTCATACAGATGTTTGTTGTCCGAGTCGAAGTATATTTTTACAAAGATTCAAGGACCTACTACAAGAAGTAAAAGATTTTTTTGGAATCAAATGATAAAGTATATGTTGAACTTACTGACGACGTTTGGTTGATGGATTTAGCTCTTGTTGTTAATATAAAAAGTCATCTTAATGTACTGAACTTAGAATTGCACGGTAAAAATCAAACAATACTAGAATTGATTGAATTTGTTAACACTTTCAAAAACAAGTTAAGGCTAATATCTATCTTTGCAGCTGATGAAGAACGAAGTAAATTTTTTTAAAAAAATCTCTCTGACAGTTTGGTTTATTTGGTTATGGCAAAGGACACTAGGCTATCTGCCTACGGCGAGGGATGCCTTCATGGGCAACTAAGGAAACTGGCACTTATACACGTTACACATGGGGAAAACCACAAAAACACGCATGCAGCCAGCCTATTCGCACGATTTGTACCTCAAACCACACCACCCCTGATCAGTGACTTTACCGCTGAGGGACTTATATTTCTGAGTTGTTTAAAAATGGTAGTACATTAAACAAATATCATTATGAAATAATAAAACTTCACTCCGAATTTGTGTGATGTTTTCAAGATTCGAACTAATAATTTGACAAAGTTGATGTGGAAGAAATGACTGAAAATATAAATATCTCTTGAAGAAAAGTTTTTCTCTTTAAAAATAATATAATTTTAAAAGCATGTACTTCAGAACTTAATAACTTTTGGATTCCAATGGGGAAAGTAAAGTATACTAATATTAAAAAAAAAAAAAAAGTTGCATTTCATTTAACATCTTTCTTTGGCTCTAGATACCTGAGTGAATCTGCATTTTCAACAATGAATGTAAGACAAGGTATCATTCCTGTCTCACAGACCACTTAGAATGCAGTTAAGATTAGCAGTTAGTAATTATATACTGAGATTGGTAGACATCATGCAGACCGTCTTCTACTAACTTTAGCATGAGAACTCGCTTTAGATGAAAATGATTTTTTAAATATATTTTAAATTGTTTGATAAGAAATGCATCATTTGAAATTATTATATTTGTGCCTATTATTACTTTATCTTGCATTTTGCTTTAAATGTGGTTTTAAAAGAGTAAGTACTTTTAGGTAGGTTAGTATACATTCTGAATTTATTAAGTTATAATAAATATCATAGACCTTTTTTTCAGCTCATTATACCTACGCCACTGAGTGGACGCAGACCTTGAAAAGATTAGAAGTAGCTCGCTCCCTGCAAAAGTATGCCCACCCCTATTTTAGAGGATATAATTGGGCATTTAGACACCGTGTTCTCTAACAGTACCTGTAGTGAAGAAGTTTTTATTTGCAAGAACGAATAATAATTCAATGGAAGTAAAGAAATTATCCATTTAAATCTTATGTATCTCAGTTTGTAACTGATAGCAAATTCTAGACAACTGTATGAGATAATGGCTCATTCACCATTTTCTTAGTTGGTTTCTTCTTTTGTATCTTTGGATTTTTATACTCTAAAAAATAAAAATCAGAGAAATTTAGTCTACATCCATTAATTTCAGAATACTAACCGACTTCATGAGTGAATATTTGAAATATTTACTCAAACCCCTCCTCCACATTTCACACACCTGTCAGTCAGGTGATGTGCAGCACCTGCCAGCTAGATTAAATTGCCAGGGTTAGTTGTAAGAATAGCAATGCTTGGAATGAACAGAGAAAGAAAGAATTATCTCAATTGCCAAACTGATGGGGATCTGATAGTATTGGATTTTACGGTCCTCCTGTTTTAAGAGCAGTTAAAAATGCAATGAAAATTCATCTTTTATATAAAAAATTTTTATACTGGTATAAAAAGTATGGAATATTACCTCAGTAAATTTATATGCATGTTTTTCTTGAAGACCAAAATTTTAATAAACTTGTACGTTGATAATACAAGCAAAAAAAAATCTCCATTTTAAAAAGTAATAAAAATATCTAAATTAATTCTAACTTGTGATAAAGACAACTATAGAGTTAAATGACTCTTCAATAAATCATTTTTAATTTGAATTAAATTATTTCAAAGATTTTATATAAGGACTATTTAAACACTTTCCCCATACTTATGTAATTTTTATCCTCTTTTGCTTTGCAAGAATTTTCTTGTTTATATTTAATTTTTATACGTTATGCTTAACTTTTCATACATACTTTTTATTTCTTCTTACTATGAAGAATTATTTTTAAGCTTTCATTTATAGATACTCCTTTCAAAGGAAGAACTTTTTATCTGTACTTAGAAGTTCTATTTGATTTAATAAAATATACAAGGAACTGAAGTGCATTTAAAAAAGGATCAGTCTGATAAATGTCATAACATTATATATTTTATTATTATGCAAAACAGTGTATTCCCTTTTATTTTCATTATTGACTTATCTTTCACATATCTATGAACTTTTCTAATACTTTATACATCTCTCAGAAATAATTATTTTGCCCATGGAAAAAAACACATTCCGCCAATCTAAAATAATTTGCTTCTTATAGAAATTAGAACTTTTTTGGGCATTATTAATATTAAAGTAAATACACAAGGTAAAAAAATTAAAAACACTTATCTAAATGAATAAGCTTAATATCAAATAGCCCTGAGGGGGGGGGGAACTTTCAATCCAGATACAACAGAATTCTATACATCACTTCCTAATACTCATGAAGCTTACAAATTTATATACATAAAATTTTATAGCAAAAAAATATAAAAGCCTACTTTTTAAACATAGAAAGTTAGACAAAATATGCTGTAACAAATTATTACATATAGAATGTTTGGCTTCTATTTAATAATTAGATGGTGGGAAACAATCCAACGGTTAAAAATTTAAATTTTACACATTATAACCATGTTAGCATATTTAAAAATATTAGTTCTGCTTACTTCTCTTGGAACAGCTCGTTTGGGTTCCACTTCACGACCATCAACTTTATGAGGTCTAGCTGCTTGTGCATCATCAACCATATAAGCATTCTTGTATGTAATGAAACCAAATCCTCTGGATCTTCTAGTATTAGGATCCCTCATAACTACACAGTCAACAATTTCTCCCCATTGTTCAAAGTGGCCTTTCAATGTTTCTTCAGTGGTTTTGTAATTCAGACCACCAATAAAAAGTTTCCGAAACTGTTCGGGCTCACTGTTGCGCTGAAAAATTATGAATTAGTTGTGTTTGATTTATAACTTTTAGAAAATGCAATTTCAGTAAAAACAGAAAGGCAGTGTTAACTTATGTTTTCAGAGTTCATACACATTTCTACAAAAGGAAATTAAGTACTTTTAAGGACTATTAATGGAAAAAATTAAGGATCCATCAATAAATGGGAACAGAATAAATTCAATTAGTGATAACTTTAAATTTCATTTGAATAGTTCTGAAAATGCTATCTATATAATAAAGATTTTAGCTATGCCTGAACTTCACTTTTGTGATACCATCCTAAGAATAAAACAGATCCATAAATAGGGTAGAATAGATCCAAAATAGATAGAATGCAGCATTATTAAACATAATTTAATAAATAATTATAAAAGAAATTTGAGAATAAAATCAACTCTATGAAATTTATCAGGTAGCATTAAATATTTTACCCTTATAATAGTTGGTCATATCTGAAAGAAGATTAGTGACATTTTATTTACGTTTTACTAACAGTTAGCTGTACACTGATTTTTCTTTTACGTCTCATTTTGTCACATTGAGAATAAACTTTATAAAATTTATTATGCAGCATTAATCATTTTACATTTTAAATAGTTGAACATATCGAAGAGACAAAGCATCATGACCACCTAATCAATGATGTGTTGCACGGGATATGGCCTGCAAAACAGTTGCAAGGCCTTGCCATGAATGTGACAAGTTCTTGGTAAATTACTGGAGACAGGTTGTACTGTATATCTAAGCGCTGTCAAGCAAAGTTGAGACTTTCCAACATGGAGGTGCTTAAGCTCAGAGCTGCAGCTCCATGGCATCCCAAATGTGTTGTATCGGGTTAAGGTTCGGCGAGATTAGGTGGCCAGGACATTAAACGGAACTGATCCTTTATGCTTTGGGAGACGTTCTCACAGGCAGCTTTGGGACCTTTAGTTGTGGTAGAACAGACCATGAAAGCTGTGTAACTATCTGGACATAACTGTGAATCATTGCACACTTAACAGTGCCTGTCTTCCTAACTTAAAATGGAATCTTCCAGCAGGGCAATGTCCCATGTCACAAGGCTCGAATACCACCAGCTTGTATATGAGCTGCTGTACAGTGAGTGAGCAACTGTTCACCTTTATTAAAACAAAACTTAAAACATACAGGCACGTTCTTATGCTAACAAAATCAACAAGAACTTGGGGTGATGTAGGTAAACAGGAACAATCAAATTCGGTACTACTCTTACTATATATGGCCTTACTTGGCAACAAATTTCTCGCCACTCCATGGTGCCATATTACTATCTAAATTTGTGTCTCCATTTCGAACTTTAAGCCTAAAATGTCTCCAAAAATGCGGTTTTCGCACACACAATTTAAACTAAAAATCCGAAACAAAAACAAAAAATTTAGATAGCAAAAACTTAAAAGCTAACCAAAAATATTTGGCAAGAATCCAAACACAGCAATATATTTTAACTTAAAAAAAAAAAAATCTAAGAGTTGCACAATCTAGGCAGCGAAAGAATCTACAAACTGCACACACCTCACTTTAGTAAATTAACATAACAATAAATTTCAAAGAATACCATGTACACAGCATCCTGTTTAAACTTGAAAAATCTACAAATTGCACAATCTACGCATAGCACACTACAAACAATTCAAAAACAACAACAACAGAAATTCATAGTAAAAAACAATGAACATAACATTCTACATAATAAAATGCACTTACCATAATACATTCTATAATAAAATTTCGCCAGTCACACAACGTGAACAAAAGTACCATGGTTTTCCTATATCACATGTCCTTCTGAGATTCAAAATTTCGAAAGTAACAATAAAAACTTAAATAAAGTAACGATAAAACTATAAATTCCTCTAAAGTTAATTTACTACACGAAAACCACAATCCAAATCGTAATCTCTGCTGACAGCCACATACTTTACCAGCAACCATTTGACTGCAAATCCCCACAACTATCACAAGCCCTTCTTCATCCGAGTTTTCACAAAAACTCCGCATTTCAGACTTCGTTTTAAAAGTCCCACAGAAATTCCAAATATGGACTTCGAACCTCAAACACACCCGTGAACAAAAGACTTGTTAACAACTCCAACATTGTACCTTTTAATACTAAATTTACTTTCCACACAATCTAAAAAACGTGACTAAAATCTTGCCACCACGTCTATCATTGCAACATAGGCCATTTCAAAACACGCACGAGACGAACCAAAAGGGTTGACATACAAACAACATCGTCCCCAAAACCATCATGGCAAAAACTAGCACAGAACATATATTGCCACATTTGCTGATCTTAGGGCGTATATATTAGTAGAGCCTCAAATTCAAACTAAAAAAATGTAGACTAGTGGTAAAAGACTACATCATTTACTTTCAATCTAAGCTGACTCAGTAATTCTATCGTTGTAATAAATTCAAATGTCCACAACAATAGCGCAAAGATGAATAATCGCAAGTTATCAGAAATAATGCAGCATGCAAAACAGAGGCCAGAAACTCATTCTCTTACAATTCAAAAACCATAGTTTAAATATTGATATACATAGTAAACAGACGGAGAAATTACAGTAAAGGCTGGAATTATAAACTGGGTAATTTACATAATACAGTTTAAGAATAATTTTCGTTCTCCTTATTGTATTCAGTTTCTTTCTTCAAAACTTTTCCTATTTATTTTAGATTTTTGAAGCCTTTTCGCTTAATAGTCACAGATTATTACAGTTAAACAAAATTTTTACCAATTCAAATATTCCTCAAACCCGCTCGATTTTCCAGAATAACAATCTTGCTATAAGTGGTTTTAATCCCCACTCCCTGGCAATAAAATTCAGACACTTTTTGTGATTAGTTACCAAAATAATTAACCTTGTTATCTTTATTGGGGGGGGACTCGTTTCTATACTGCCACTTCGGCACTGACGTAAAAAGTTCTTTGCCAGTTACCGAATTCAACTAGTAAATATATGAGAACAGAATATGTATTAAACTGCATATTAAGTTTTCTAAGAAAAGAAATTAATCTGTACATAACAAGCACTTTTATTATAAATTTTATGTTAACTGCAAAAGAACTTCAAAATGAAATTTTCTCAGCAACTTATTCTAACAGTAATTAAACGATAGCTTTAAGAACAGCATTTCTATATTTTTTTTGTTTGTTTCGATATTTTTTCACTTTAAGGTAAAAATACATTAATAATTACAAATTATCTTACATATAGAAGTCAATTAACATTACGATAAAACTAGCAATACTAAATATGTTCACACATTAAGAGAACAAAGCCGCGTATGACAAGCCGCCATTTTGCAACGCAAAACAACATAAGTATAGATTTTAAATAATTACACACCAAAAAGCATACTTACATCAGCTCCCATTTCAATGGATTTATTTTTCTCGACTTATCGATTTCAAATACGGAACACAGAATACACAGAACGGAAAGAATTACCAATCTTAAATAACTTTTTAAGATCTACAAATGCAAATCCAACTATCTCTACCCAGCCGGTCTTAATGTTGCCAATATACTCGAAGAAACTCAAATCTCAGACGAAATAAGTTTATCGTTTCGATCTTCAGAGACCTCTAACGGCGAAATCAGAAAAACGAAGCACAGCCCTGAAAACTACACCAACCGACGACAAAGATCGTATTATATTTTCGAGAGTCAAAAAATTTTTACTCGGCTTCTGATAAGCAATCTAGGTAAAAACGCAAGAAGAATCAAGGAGGTTAGAATAGAAGGAGGGAAGGTTTAACTCAAACCGGGAATCTGGGAGGCCATGTTACGACTTCTCTCTGTGACTTGTGCGAGGAAATCTGTCGTTGCAATTTTTTTTTTTTTTAACTTTTTTAACTTTTGTCATCTTGTGTTGCATATGAATGCACAAATCGATTTTCAAAGATTCCTAGGATTACTTTTCAAGCGTTAAGCATTTATATATATATATATATATATATATACTATCGCAAAAAATGTCACGTATGTTATTTTCTTTCCAGATGTGAAAAAAAAGGACTTAAATAATCAAAATAGGTTACGTAATATAACTATAATCAAAATATGTTAAATACATTTTAATGTTTTTGTTTATAGCTGGTATCTTCGTTACTTAACATACAATGATATATGCTAGGATTTAAACTGTATAATTTGAATGTTTTAGGTTATTCGTTTCTTAATTTTCATGAAAAGATAAACAAGAATGTATTGATAATTTGAAGAACAAAATAATATCCTTAGAAAATTGTAATAAAATATTGAAAAATAGAGAAAAGAAAAATTTTAGAATGTTTGCTCAGCGACAAAGAAGGTGGACGACATCTAGAAAGAAATTTGTATCGGAAATTCAGAAATTAAAATACCCAACAGCGAAATTTAGGAAAAAACAGAACAGATCGGAGAATTTGGAAAAACGTCTAAAGCATATTTTTACAAAGACGCAGATTAACGCATTGCTAGAAAAGAAGGAAAAAATCAGGTGGACTAGTGAAGATATTTCACGCTGCATTGTCATAAGAGCTCTGTCATCTAAAAGCTACGATTTTTGGAAAGAAAAAATGGAAATTCCTTTACCTAGCACTTGCACATTAAAGAGATGGTGCGCTAAATTTTCATGTAGTCCAGGAATTCAGAGTGATATTTTTGCTGTAATAAAGGAGAGATGCGAATATTTGAATTCTATAGAAAAAAATATGCGTTCTCAATTTCGACGAAATGCATATAGATTCTAAACTCTGCTATGACTCTAAACTGGACCAAATTCTCGGTCCTTTTCAAAAAGTGCAGTTTTTTTTTTTTAATCATAGGTCTCATTTCGCAGTGGAAACAACCAATATTTTTTTTTTGATTTTATTTTAACACTCCAATGAAGAAAGAACTTTTTTTTTCACTCATAAGACATATTCAATCATCTGGAGTAGAAGTGAAAGCAATAGTGTCTGATTTAGGAGGATCTACTACTTTGTGGAAAGAGTTACAGATTTCGATTAATAGTTCTCAGTTTCCAAATCCAGTATTCCAAACGAAAAAAATATGGGTTTTTGCAGATTTAGCGCACTGCCTCAAATTACTGAGAAACCACTTTTTAGATAAAGGATTTGTTTTAGAAGATGGACCTTTTAGAAGAAGGATTTGTTTAAGAAGACTGTTTTAAATGTTGATATTATTAAAGAGGTTTTAAATAAAGATTCAGGAGAAATTAAATTGTGTCACAAACTAAAACCAAGTTATTTAATGGTCAAGGGAAACGAGAGACAAAAAGTCGCTCCAGCGAAAACATTATTTTCAAGAACTACAGCAAAAGGTATACTCCACCTCACAGGAAATAAACTTAGTTAATCGACAATTTTTTCGATATTATGAATAGTACCAAAACATACCCTCCTTCAGATAAAATACTTAAAGCAGCATTTGGATTAAATGAACATCATGAAAAACAAATTCAAGTTTTGGAATTAATGAAGAAAGTCATTGGTGGATTAAGAGTTAAGGGAAAAGCCAACTTACTGCCTTTCCAAAAAGGAATAATAATTTCAATAAATTCTCTTTTTGGCTTACACCAGGATTTGAAATCATCGTATGATGCTAAATATATTTTAACCTCTAGATTAACTCAGGATGCACTTGAAAGTCTCTTTAGTCAGATTCGAGGGCTTGGTAGGTTTAATGACCATCCATCACCTAGTGAAGTTATACGCCGCTTAAAGCAATTAATACTCGCTAATAAGCTGCCAAATTTATCTTCAAAAGTATGCATGACTAAAGAAAGCAGAAATATCGATTCATATTTAACATCCGAAATACTTGAAAAGGCTTTGAAAACTGAGGAGGAAGATGCTTTTCCATTAAATACTATTGATGATTTGGATTTGGATTTCATAGAGGAACCTTCTCCTATGGCTTGGGAATTAGAGTTGAATTCCGACAGATAATTTTCGACAGCCGAAAAAGAAGCATTAACATATGTTGCAGGTTATATTGCTTATCGTGTGCGAGACAAAGACCCATCATTAGGAACAATATCTAAAAAATAGTGCTGATGAACCAATATTTAATTCAGAATGGATTAAATTATTGTCCTTAGGAGTTTTGACTACACCTTCTCATGTATGGATGAATACAGTTTATGAGTTCGAAAACATATTTTGTGCAGTTCATGGTACAACTTACTATAAAGGGAAGCATGTAATAGGCTCTTTAATTAATAAACTGGAGAAACATTATCCTGAAGTTAACAGAGAAGCAATTCGTTTATTTTGCAGAGTGAGAACTTTTATTAGAATCGTTTCTTAAATATGCATATGTTTTTTCTCAAAGAAAAGCAACCCAAAAGGCAAAAAAATGGATTGCTTCGAATGTGGCAGCCAATAAATAATGTTTCAACAACTTGTAGTTGCATTGCGACTGTACAAGTAAGCATATATAATATGTTTTGATTTGAAATATTTCTAGATGGCATTTTAGAAGTTGATAGCGTAAAGCACATTTCAAATGAGAACTAATTCTGTTAAGTTATTGTTACAGTTATTTTTATTGTATCCTCTGTTATTATTGATTCGATTTTGTGCTAGCTTAGCATTCTAGATAAAATATATATAAAGTATAATATTAAAGTAATTGGCATAAGAAGACCTGCCCCCTTAACCCCCACTTTGAAAAATTAAATAATTATTTTAGGTACTGTGAGTAAAGTTGTTTTGTCTAAATTAAGATAACAATCTTACATTTATTTATTTAAATGAAATATTGATATAAGCCTAAGTTACAAAATTATTTTAAAAATATATATATATATGTTATTACATTGAATTGGGAGAAAAATATGCCAATGTAAAATTTACAATTAGGCTGAAACTCAAACTTAGATTAGCAGAAATTTTGCCATATATAACCATACATGTTTAAAACTATGCCAATTTAAGGTTGTTTTTTGATTAATTTTAAATAGCTGTTATTATAGTTATCTTAGAAGCAGTAGTACAGTTCTCTTTATTAACATGCAGATAAAGATATGATTAGAAACAAACAGGCATTTAAAGAAAAAAAAATCCCTGCAAATAAAAAAAAAGGAACTTTATGCTAAGAGTAGCGCATTTTATCTATTATTTTAAAATTGAGTAAGTACTATTAAATTTTGTAATGTTCAGTGTAAAATGCATACTGCAGTAACATTGTCTCTTCCAAATTATAGCTATCTTTCACACACAGCTCATTTTAAACGCTGGCTCTTCAAATTTAAAACGCTAATTTCTATGTTGTCAATTGCATCTCCGCGCTCAGTGGCATCATTGCTACGTCATCACTCCTCACTTCCTGTTTCAGGGGGAAACGCTCTATGAGCTAGCCCTTCTCTTTAGTCCTGATTCGCACCAACATTAGCCACGCATGCGCATTGAGTTGTAAGGTTCGTCATTTGAACCCAATCGAAAAGAACAGATTATACCTACGCGAACTGCGTAATTGTTGTAGTGAATCTTTTTTTTTTTTTTTAAAGACGGGTTACTACTTTGGCGCAGTTTATCATTTTTTAAGCGTTAGCAACTTTTAAAAGTTTAGAAAGGAAAATGGGTTCCTTTTCTTAAAAGAAGGAACCCATTTCCTTTCATTAAAGTATATATATAAAAAAGCAGATTTTTATGTTAGCAATGTTTATCGTTTTCTTGTTTAAATGACTTGTTTAAATGAATAGTTTAAATAATTGATTTTGGGGAGGGGGACAAAATGTTGTTTAAATTTTTAGAATATATTTAGTTTCAAAAATGTGTTTTGCGCAATCAAGACTTTAATTCATTCCTCTTTGAAAATTTTCGTCCGAGAAAAATTAATAAAAATTAGACAGAGGGTTTCTGTGTAGAAAATTTAGACATGAAATAACTTAAAAGCAATTAAATCAACTATTTAAATGAAAAATTAATCATATAATACTGGTTATTAACAATTCTGTATGCCTGTTTATTTTTTTATGGAAGTACTTTGCATTTTCAGGACACAAAAAGTACTTCAAGCAACTTTGAAATATTAATACAAACACATTAATAAATTGAATTAAAATAAATAATGGGATGTAATTTAAAAGACAGAAATAATTTAATGTAAGAGATTTAGATTTAAAAATTTGTACACACAAATGACTTATCACATTTTATAAGGTTTTATTTCATAAATAACTTTGATTTTGAAATATGGCATTTGAACCTATAAACATGTGTGGATACTGAAAAAGTGATTAATATATAAGTATATTATAATTGTTGAAACTCTCACCGACAACCACGTGATTTGCGCATGCGCGCAGCAAAAACTAAATCAGAACTTTTTAGTTGAACTTTGAGAACTCGTGATGGACGTTTGAGTGAAACATGTAGTAATTCTCTTCTGTGTTATACATATATATTTTAGTTTAGTGCTGTGCATGTAATTGAATATCTTATTATCTTAGAAGCCTCTCTCTTTCTGTGAGTAGTGTATCATGTAATTAAGAAAAACACTCCCGGATATGCCTTTGGATTAGAAAAGAA